AGGGATGTGGCCCAAGAGACGCGTCGGTGGCCATTATATAAGGCCGCCCACCTCGTTTTCGATTCGTTTTGAAATGGATTTTTCTTTATGGAAATTGTGTGTAAGTTTTTATTATTATCTTGGAGATAAAAGATAAAAAATGATTAAGATCAGAATAAAAAAAGAGAGAGATTAATTTTGTTGTTGTTGTTGTTGGCGTTTGTGGTAAATTCAAATCGTGTTAAAATAACCCGATTGGGAACTTTTGGAAACGGTACTTGCGTGATGCCTTTGTTTTTTTTTCTTTTTTTTTCTTTTTTTTAGATAGGAGATTTCTTATCAGTGCGTTCGATCTATGTAATTGAGGAAAATAAACTGTTTTTTTTTTGCATTCACCTTGCCCTCACTCCCTCCCCCCCCTCTCTCTTTTTTCTCGCACTCTTCCTCCCCCCCCCCCCCTCTCTCTCTCTCTCTCTCTTTCTCTGTCTCTCTCTCTCTCTCTCTCTCCCCCCCCCCTCTCTCTCTCTCTCTCTCTGTGTCAATCTCTCCCTCTCTCTCTCTCTCTCTCTCTCTCTCTCTCTCTCTCTCTCTCTCCTCCCCCCCTCTCTCTCTCTCTCTCTCTCTCCCTCCCTTCTCTCTCTCTCTCTCTCTCTCCCCCCCTCTCTCTCTCTCCCTCCCTTTTCTCTCTCTCTCTCTCTCTCTCTCTCTCTCTCTCTCCCTCCCTTCTCTCTCTCTCTCTCTCCCCCCCTCTCTCTCTCTCCCTCTCTTTCTCTCTCTCTCCCTCCTCTCTCTCTCTTTCTCTCTCTCTCTTTCTCTCTTTTCTTTCTCTCTCTCTCTCTCTCTCTCTCTCTCTCTCTCTCTCTCTCTCTCTCTCTCTCCTCTCTCTCTCTCTCTGTCTTTATCTCTTTCTCTCTCTCTCTCTCTCTCCTCTCTCTCTCTTCCCCCCCCCTCTCTCTCTCTCTCTCTCTTCCCCGCTCTGTCTCTTTCGTTCTCTCTCACTCTTCCAGAAGTCGAGGTCGAGGTCGAGGGGGTGCAGAGGTCGAGGGGGAATGGAGGTCGAGGTCGAGGGGGAACGGAGGTCGAGGTCGAGGGGGAGCAGAGGTCGAGGTCGAGGGGGAGCGGCGGTCGAGATCGAGGGGGAACGGAGGTCGAGGTCGAGGGGGAACGGAGGTCGAGGGGGAGGAGAGGTCGAGAGGGAATGGAGGTCGAGGTCGAGGGGGAGCGGAGATCGAGGTCGAGGGGGAACGGAGGTCGAGGTCGAGGGGGAGCGGAGGTCGAGGGTGAATGGAGGTCGAGGTCGAGGGGGAGCAGAGGTCGAGGTCGAGGGGGAACGGAGGTCGAGGTCGAGGGGGAGCGTAGGTCGAGGTCGAGGGGGAGCGGAGGTCGAGGGGGAATGGAGGTCGAGGTCGAGGGGGAGCGGAGGTCGAGGTCGAAGGGGAGCGGAGGTCGAGGGGGAATGGAGGTCGAGGTCGAGGGGGACGGAGGTCGAGGTCGAGAGGGAACGGAGGTCGAGGTCGAGGGGGAACGGAGGTCGAGGTCGAGGGGGAACGGAGGTCGAGGTCGAGGGGGAACGGAGGTCGAGGTCGAGGGGGAACGGAGGTCGAGGTCGAGGGGGAATGGAGGTCGAGGGGGAGCGTAGCTCGAGGTCGAGAGGGAACGGAGGCCGAGGTCAAGAGGGAACGGAGGTCGAGGTCGAGGGGGAGGAGAGGTCGAGGTCGAGGGGGAGTGGAGGCCGGGGTCGAGGGGGAACGGAGGTCGAGGTCGAGGGGGAACGGAGGTCGAGGTCGAGGAGGAACGGAGGTCGAGGTCGAGGGGGAACGGAGGTCGAGGTCGAGGGGGAATGGAAGTCGAGGGGGAGCGTAGGTCGAGGTCGAGGTCGAGGGGGGACGGAGGTCGTGGTCGAGGGGGAACGGAGGTCGAGGTCGAGGGGGAACGGAGGTCGAGGTCGAGGAGGAACGGAGGTCGAGGTCGAGGAGGAGGAGAGGTCGAGGTCGAGAGGGAGCGGAGGCCGAGGTCGAGGGGGAACGGAGGTCGAGGTCGAGGGGGAGGAGAGGTCGAGGTCGAGGGGGAGCGGAGGCCGAGGTCGAGGGGGAACTGAGGTCGAGGTCGAGGGGGAACCGAGGTCAAGGTCGAGAGGGAACGGAGGCCGAGGTCAAGAGGGAACGGAGGTCAAGGTCGAGAGGGAACGGAGGCCGAGGTCGAGGGGGAACGGAGGTCAAGGTCGAGAGGGAACGGAGATCAAGGTCGAGAGGGAACGGAGGTCGAGGGGGACGGAGGCCGAGGTCGAGGGGGAACGGAGGTCGAGGTCGATAATTTGTCGCCCTACTTTTAGCTACTTTTAAGAGATTGATAGTCATTGCTTGTAAAGAAAATGTATTTCTATGACACTTTTTTTTAATCTCATTAGGTCGAATTCCTCTTCAAAAAAGGGTCAGGAAATCCCGACAGAGTGACATGACATGACCCTTGTTGAAATGTACCTCGCTGCCGACGGGCCGTGAGGTGTAAAAGTGAGAGGGCTCTGTTGACATGTTGACAGAGGCAGAGAGCGGTCATGCCTTTGACAAATGTAAGTGACAGAGTGCAGTGGTCAGGATTGCCACAGGTTCCTGGAATAAGGTAAAAGTTGTTATTGAAACATACGTTCAAGTTATAACGAATAGTGAGGGATAACGGTGCAACTTTCACAAATATTGGCAATTACGCTCGAAGTTCTTTCTTATCGTTATTTTTCGATCAGTATGTTATCATTTATCTTTTCTTGTTATTTTATCTATTTTTTTGTGGGGGGTTATTATAATTTGGAAATAATCAACAATCTAAAAAAATGATGTACTTTGTTTGCTAGGTTCTGTTGATTATTTTTTATGAATGACATGAGGAAATTAATCTGAAATTTTCTTCTCTTTATCTCCCTCTCTACCCTTCCCCTATTCCTTCTTTCCCTCGACTTTCTCTTCTGTCTATCTGTTTGCTTGTTTGTCTATCTCTTTCTGTCTGTCCGTTGTCTTTCTGTGTGTGTGTGTGTGTGTCTGTTAGTCTGTCTCTGTTTGTCTGTCTCTATTGCTATCTCACTCTTCCTCCCTTCCTCCCTCCCTCCCTCCCTTCTTCCCTTTCACCCTCTCTCCTTCCCTCCCTCCCTCTCCCTCACCCTCCTCTCTCTCTCTCTCTCTCCCTCCCCTTCCCCCTCCCCCTCTCCCTCTCCCTCCCCCCCCTCCCCCCTCTCTTCCTCCGATAGCGACGAAATCATAACTACGAAACATCATAACGTCATACCAACACGTTTTAATTCCGAAAAAGAATCTAATCTAAGAAAAGATAATATAAGATAAACAAAACCAAAAAAACCCGGGTCGAGTGTTAGATAAGCGTTGGGTTTCCCTTTGTGTCTTTGTGTTGACCCTTTGTCTGGCAGCAACAACAACAACAAAGCAAAAACAACAACAAAACAACAACAGCAACAAAAACAACAACAAAACAGCAACAACAACTTCAACAACTACAGCAGTCAGAATATCAATAGCAACAACAACAGCAGCAAGAAGAGCAAGAATATCAATAACAGTAACAACATCAACAACAACATTTGCAACAACAACAACAAACCTAGCAAAATCATCATCGTTATCAACAACAACAACATGAGAAACAATAACAAAAACAACAACAGATATATATATATATATTTTCCCCACCATTTCCAAGCGACCCTTCAGTGTTGCCAATGCGTGAACCACCAATTAACTCATACTAATAGCAGTAAGCTTCCTGTCTTTCGGATGCGAGAGTCGAAACTGGCAACACTTAGAGATGCAACTGCAAAGTGAGGCGGATTGCACTGATAAATAATAAATGTTGTGCAGCGATTGCAACAGAATATATTACAAGGTGGACAATGCACGTTGGTGATGATGGGTTAGGCAAGTTAATCCGTTTACTTATAAGATTTCAATTGATTGTGATATATATTTATTTTATACAGTTTAAGGATATATATCATGTGGAGTTTTTATATTCATTTATCATTAAGAAGAAAAAATCAACACTTTTCATATATCTTTGTTTAAGTCAAAGCATTTTAGTTGAATATGATACTAAATTTTAGAAACATTTTAAATTGGTATATTATGTGGATTTAAAAGAAGATATATACTGTGAAGTGTATTTTTAAGTCATCAACGATCTATTAAATTAAAAATAAAGTATTTCATTCAATCATGATACTGAATTTTAGAAGCAATTTAAGGATGTATTGTATGTTTTTTTAAATTTATTTATTTTCTATTAAATAGATTTTTTTCATCATTAATTTGTTCAAGTAGGGAAGTCCCCTGTTCCAGACAAGATAAGCTTCATTGTTATCTAGGCTAAACACAACAGTAACTGATAGTATTGTCTCTTTCTGTCTGTCTGTCTGCCACAGTCTGTCTGTCTCTGTCTGTCTGTCTGCTCGTCTCTCTGGCTGTGTGTCTCTCCTTCTGTCTATCTCTCTCTGTCTCACTGTTTCTTTTTCTGTCTCTCTTTCTCACTATCTGTCTGTCTGTCTGTCTGTCTGTATTTAAGTATACCTATCTATCTTTTAATTAGTGGAACATATGATATATACAATATATATAAAGTACAAACAGATTTACAAATATATCGATTAGTCTACAGCTAACCATTTATACAAAAATATAATTCACCTATTTTTCTTTATCAGGGCGAAGATGAAGTGAATTGCATAATTGGATAATTAGCAAGTTAACGACGATTGATTATTTGAATTATAACGATGCCTTTCGGACACGTTGCCTTCAGCCAATCAGAAACAAGATCTCAAAACGGACTCCAATTTCAAAATCGTTTTGATATTTTGTCTTGTTAATGCGATGTTTTTCGGGCGATAAAAGTACAAATGCATTTTCTTTACTTATTGTTTAGAAAAGAAGTAAAAGAAAAAAAGAAGAAGGAAGAGGATGAGATGGAGAAGGAGAAAGAGGAGGAGGAGTAGAAAAAGGAAGAGGAGGAGGAGGAGGAGG